TTTTTTTTGTGTTATTGCTTCTATTGTTTCCATTCCATATATACGTTCATGTTGCTGGCATTAAAAGTCACTAGTTCCATTATCGTTCTTGTCTTGTGTATGTATGTGTGTGCATGTCAAGAGATGTGGCAGAAAATAAGGCGAGAAAGAAAAACAAGTATGCATGTTACAAAAGTGTTCTAAACCATTGTTGATGTGTCTCGTCTGTCAAAATGCCGAACAAAAAAAACCGTCACTTTTCTCCAATTTTGATTAAAGATTTGTTTGTCAGGTCAATTATCATGCCTAGACAGTTGATGTGCGCGTTTGAAAAGAAATTGGCCGAGCGAAAAGAAAGTTGTCACTTGTTTTCTTCGTCGTCTTCTTGTATTTTGCTTTGCCACTTCAAAGCGTTCACTTTGAATTTAATTGAATGAATAATTGACACATAAATGAACTCGTAAAATCTTAATTTCATTTTGGCTCGTCTTAAAATAGAGCCGATATAACAAAAAGAATTCAAATTGACCATGAAAATGTTCTACTTTTCACCTCGGTTAATTCTTGCTTGTTCCACGCACTCGACGATTGACCAAAAAAAGAGAAGAAGTGCGTTTTGTGTATGTTCAATGTTTTCTCTTTTGAATGATGATCGAACGAAAAAAAAACAACAACAACAACAACAGCGATCGAACACAGTGTGTGTTGTGATTTGTATATTGATTATATGTAGAACCGTTATACGATTGACTTGCTTACAAAATCGCTTGTTTTTTTTTCTTCTCGTCTATATTTATCGTTCTCTTTCGTTCGCATTGAACATGATTTGCGCTTCTCTTTTAACTCGCTTGAAAAGTTGCCACAGCTCTTCGCATCGATCGTATTACAAACACGTTCTTCGAACGTAACAGTTATACACGGCAAAGAATCTCAATATGTTCAAGTGTGCGGCGGTTCGCTCATATGGCAATTCATTCGATGTTTGAATTGCAGAATAAACCATGCCAACGATTTTTACACACACATTCCATCGCATAAGTTAAATGCTTTGATGAATTTTCGTTTTATTTTTGAACATGCAAATTCACCATATTCGCACAATGAATTTTCAAATATAGATTATTTAATGTTCACATTTTTTTTTTTAGAATTTCACACACGCATCTCCCACATTGACAGTATAAACAATAAAAGAAAACGGTACCGAAACTAATCATCGAAATTTAAAACAAAACAGAAAAACTCTTTCCTTGACTTGAGTTTGGGAGCGTAGAAGCAATTGCAATGAGGTGGACTGTATATCTTCTTGGGATTTGCGTATTGGCTACATCCAGCAAGGCTCAAGACGATTCCTTTGCCGGCACTTTTTTATCAGGTAAACCAAAATTATCATCCATTTCGATTTAATTTTTTTACAGAAACTACTTCTGCCCACACTGAAAAAGAAAGATAAATACACGCGCGTTCACTGACCTATTCGTCGTGCATAATTTGTAACCAAATCCAATGGGAGCTGATTGTTCGATTGGTGTTGTGTGTATGTGTGAAATAGAATCATTTCAAACACATCTCGTTCTCTTTATTTGGATCGTTTACAAAACAAATCTGTGTTACTAATTCGCATAACTTGGTATTTTAAGTGTAAATTTATTCAGGCAAATCACGAATGTTTCGATCGCGCATAGTTTAAGAATGCTTTCTTTTCTTAAGCATATGGTTATCTTTTTTACATAACTTCGTTCGGTTTTTCTTCTTCTTCTGTTAAACATTGATTCGTGCGCTGTGTGGTTGTGTGTGCATTTGATGAAGATTGGTTACAAGCTCTTTTAGTATGCAGCGAACTGGTTTACAGTTTGATGGGCGCAAATGTAGTTTCAGTGTATTTTGTGTGGTACGGTATTACGTGATCATTGCTTATTAACCTGCTATCGAATGCGGAACATTCATTCATCGCGATGATCATCATAGTAGTCGTTATCGTCGAACTTGAATGGACCAGAAAACTTGTATTGAACCATCTGCGCCCGCCATAAACATACACACACATTCGCATTTGTTTTATGTAATGCTCCATATCGTTCAGTAAGAAATTCCATTTCTTCGTGTTTGTTCTCGTGTATCTAACTTTAAACTAGGCAATACCATTTTCGATCCAAACCGTCATCACCGCGAGTGATACCGTTAGATCATTTTAAGACAGCGGCTGCCAGTGTATTTAATCAATTCCCGTCTATGTTCGCATAAGGAACCACGAAGAGTCTTGAAATGAAAATGTTTTTGATTTTTTTGTAGCACACTGGGTTTTGCGAATAAAATCGCAATTACACTGATAAATATCACCAGAATGAGAACGTGCGCTAAAATAAGAAACAATGGCATTGCATTGTCATACATTGTTCTCATTTTAGGAAGAAAAAAATGAAAACGTTGAAATGATTTCTCATTACATTAGCACTTTTAATTCGAAAATTGTGGATAACATGCAAAATTTAGCTGATACCAAATATGGATGACTTTTACCATCGAAGAATACAAATGAAATTAATGCAAGCTGCGAATATGTTAAAAGTTTCATTTTTTTAAAAATGTGTCATAATAAAAACTGTCTGTTTCTTCATTTGATTTTTTTTCTCGTTTCTTTTTCTAGGTTTACTGGATTCGATAACAAGCACGGCTGAGGTCAAAGAATGCCCGGGAATTTGCGTGCATTCATTTGCAACAATCATTTGCTATGAAGTGCTTGAAGATGTTCAATGTCCATCATCGAATATGAAATGTTGCGTTGAAAGTAACAACACAGCATCGGCCACCGCACAAAGTCAATCACAATCTACGACACAAAAACCAATCAAAATTACAACAGCTGCTTCGCCGCCCACCAGTAAACCAACGCAAAAAGCTACTGAAAAACCAACTAAATCGGAAACAAATAAAGAAGGTAAACTCTCTTCCGGCAATCATTTACACGCCAATTATATTTTGGTACAATATACAAAATTATGTTCGGTCATACATTCTTGTTTCACGCAAATAATGATGAATTTTATCATCATCATTTTCTAGCTGTTCTTCTCAGCGGTTTCATAAGATAAATTAAATTGTGCTCAAATTGTGAAAAAGAGAATGTGTGTTATTTCAACGGTGTGGTTATTGTTGTTTGATGTGAAGGTCTGTTTCACTTCGAGAACATTTCCGACTGTGTAAGACGTTAGATGTAAGACCCATTTCACGCACTTGATTTTTTCTTCTTTTTTTTTTAAATATGCGCAAAGAGAAATACGAAGCGAATCTCCAAAATGAATAATAATAATAATACATAATTACATTTTCCAGCGCATGAACTTTTCCAAGCCAAATTTTAATACAAATTATTTTCTCTACCGATGGATACTATTGTCTTTTTTTCTCTGACTACCTCTCATTGTGTCTTATTCACCATCACAAAAAAATGTAGGCGATTAATTGTTTTGCTACATTTTCCCATGCGATTTAATGTGGAGCACGCCTGTATACCTCGATAAATGAGATTTAAATGTGCCGTGATCGCTTCAATTCTGAACAAATTTTTAATTGTAACCCGACTTTAGCTCGAGCTATGAAATATAACTTTGCTTTGAAATTGAGAGCGAAATATTCAAGAAATTTAAAAAAAGAACAGAATCAGATCAGCAATAAAATCAAATGAAAAACCACTGTCAAAAGTTATGATGCATGCAAAATTCTATTCCTTGTAACTTGCCAAAAAAAAAAAAATGAAAGCAAGCCTTGACCGTGACAGTCAAATCTAATTTAAGTAACCAAAACAAAAAGAAATACGTGAAAAGTGTGGAATGTCACCGGTTTCTATTTGGTGTTAAACATTATCGACGCTAATGATATGATTTAATTAAAAGCATTTAAATATCCGACTATTCGAATTCATACTTAACGATAATTGAGATATCGCTGTATAGAAGAGTCTGGTACTGAAAATAAGCCGATCAGATATGTTTTAAGAGGATTGAAATAGTGCTTATGTCAATAACATACATTGTCATTTTCTAACGTTTCCAAACTCACAAATAAGTAAATTCGCTTTAAGCAGAATTTTATGTGGAAATGTTTGGCTTTTTTCCGCGAATTGTTTGACATAATTCAATTTCATGAGATAAATCAAGTTCTTTTTTTTCTTTTTTCAAATAACTTATTCTTAACTATATAGAATTAACTTTTTTCTTTCGAAAAATTGTCCCAACAAATGCCTGTGCCAACAAGTGAATAATCTGCTTCTAAATTTGCATACATTTTATATTTATACACGTTTCAATTGTTCGTTGCTAAGCCCACTCAATTTTCTCTCTCACTCTCTCGAATACGAAGGGAAAGCACACGTCGCAAGTATATATTTAAAGTGACGTAAAATGGACCAAAAATGAAGAAGAAGATCGTCTCACACACATATATATACCACGCGACAAAAACATTCGATCCACGTTTATCGTTTGAAATGAAATCAAAATTGATTCGATCATCAAATGGGTTTTTTGGCCGCTACTTATGCAAATCATCGTCACACAACGATCGCCTGAAATCAATTAAGTAATGATAATTAATCATGCAAATCGCCGACTTGTGCTCATAAATTATTGATTCATTTGAAAGAAAACATGTGTTTCTATGAATGGGGGCTTTTTTATTGCTGATGTCTATCAAAGAGAATTTGCATTATAATCGACTTAAAGTGAAAAGTAACATACACAATATAATGCTGGTACCAAAGATTTAAAATCTGATGATTATGGAATGAATTTCTGATCATTTTCATGCAATTGGATTTGGTTGCCATGCGTGGGCCATAGCAGCCAAATGAATGGATATCATCAGATTCTTCAAACATATTAGAAGCGTCTTCACATGAGTAATTTTGCAAGATTATAGATAATGACGAAACCTAATAATAGCATGAACATGAACAATGTGCATTAAGTGGAACTCAATTGATCGGCTGAGAATAAAAGTGACTTTAAGTTTTTTTAAACCGTCTCCATCTTATGTAAATCCTGTACAAATTATGAGACACTTTTAAGATTTTTTCTGCTTAAAGTCGCTTTTATTACCAGCCGTACAATTGAGCTTTATTTGATTTCAGCCGAAGTCCCATTTCAATGAAGCTCCAATTATATCTAGATTCAGAATTTTAAGGTGATTTATAAACTTTTAATATTAATTTCCATGAAACACTCGAAACATATTCAAAGTAGATTTAAAACAAACGTTTGCGTTATGCGTCTCTTTAAAAATTCGAAGAAATGTTGACAGTCTCTTTATATTCACTTATTACCATTGTTCAACTCACTGTGAATTGCGGAAATGGTATCTAATTAATTTGAAATTCATATAATATTCAGTTTTCTGGAGAAATCAAGTTCAGAAACATCAAGTGACGTTTTGTCTGACGTTTTTACATTTCAAAAGAATAGTTTTCTTTTTAGAAATTTACATATACTGAAAATTATATTGTCGGCGATATTTTTACGTAGAATTTATTGAGCCAAATGAGACGAAGCATGAAATCGACAATTATGAGATACTCTTTTGAAATGGTCGCCTTTGAACATTTCGAGTAATTTTATTCATTTAAATTGTGGAAGATTAAAAAGTTATTGATACTCTTTTGACCGGTCAACAGTAAAAAAATGACTCTTCAATAATACTTCGAATCGAATGATCTCGATATCATCTGGTGACCCACAAATCTGAACATAACAACAAACCGCAACAGACGTTTCTCTTGAAACTGTACTACACTCTTGCTTTATATTCTTTTAATGGAGATATCGTTTACAACGATAATTTTTGAATCCATTAATCAGCTCATGTTTTTTTTTTGAATTCTAAGAATTACTTATTTTTTTAATTGTATTTATATAGAAATCTAATTTGGTTCAAGAAAATGCGATTTATGTCATTGTTTCGCTAATTTATCCGTGATTTTTTTTCTACTTAAATTTTTATTGCAAATTATTTCGTTCCAAGAATCCAACAATAAAATGGTAGGCAACATTTCCAATTTATCACATCGTTTGAGCGCAAAAATACACAAAACACACACTGACAAGCCTGGCCAGTGGCCACCATTCAATCGTTCGCTTGAAAATAAATTCACTACAACATGGTTGTTGTTTACATTTAATGATTGTCAACTGATTGAGACCACCTCTTCCGACTCCAGTTGTTTGCAGATCTCGTGATTTATTATTTATTTTATTGTTGGCATTATTGGTTGAATTTAACCGAATAAATTATGTTCAAGTGATGAGAAAATGTCTCTTTTCCGCTATTTATTCTCTTCCTCTCTCGTTCTTTTTGTGGCTTGCTTTTGCTTTCACTCGCTTTCAATCCCGAATCGCAGTCTATCTCTGTCCCACTCCTTTGCATTTATTTTCATAATTGATTTAAATTTATTCTAGGGGCAGAGCAGTACTAGAATAATCTTTTTTGTTTAAGTAATTCTATGTTGTGAGTAGTAATCCATATTAATCCATAGTAATACAAACTTACGTAAATTCTAACAGCAGTGCAATGACGTTTCATGTGTACGTTGTGTATGACATTTGCTAGGCATAACGCGATCGCCCTATATTTCGGATGAGACATTTTATTGTAAAAAATGGAAAATATCGAATTTAATTTAATAAATATCGAATAAATTGTTTCAATCCGCAATATACGAAGATCTAGGGGGATTCCGCGCTCTTAAATATGAATAAATATGAACAAATTCGGGGGATTTCAACAAATTCAAGAGATGTTAACACAACTTTACGTTTTTTGGGAGATATTTTGAGATTTTCTGAACTGCAATACCGACAATGTTGAACTTGACAAGAACAGGGAATGAAGAAGTGGTGAATTATTATGACAGCTTCTATATACTAAAAAATATATTGATTTGTTCTGATTAACTATTTGTTCAATCTCTTTTATACTTTGTTCATTTAAATTACTTAATGACACTCTATCGATTGCACAGACAGCCAAAATATCTTTAATAATTTTTGGAATTTTATATTCGTAGAAGTTTTGATACTCACGCCAGAACCGTTCCATTGCAAATGGCACATTTCAATTTTGCTTTGTAATGCAAAAACTTACACACATGTAACAAACAACTACCATGACAGCTTAGAAGCTGTCCCAATAATTCACCTATTATAAATAGGTCTGCAGCGCCAAAAATTCACCACCATTCATTATTATCTCATATTCACCCATATTCTAAAAATGTCAAAATATTCGACAAAATTTGAAGTATCCTACATGGTGGGTATCGGTGAATACTTACGGATATTGTCAGATACGGTGAGATATTTGAATTTTTATGAGATTTTAAGAATGAAGTTAAATTTTGGTACATAAATACGCGCGGAATCCCCCTAGACGAAGATCGCTTTATTCCTAACAAATGTAATACACAACGTACACATGAAACGTCATTGCACTGCTGTTAGAATTTACACAAGTGTGTATTACTGCGGATTAGTAAGGATTACTGCTTACAACGTAGAATTACTTTAGACTAAAATTATTATTCTAGTACTGCCCTGCCCCTAGAATTTATTATATTCTATTATGGTTTTTGTGTCTGCCTCTGTTGTGCGTGTATGTTGCTTATCATTCACATGAATACCACGCAATTACGAATGAAGTTTTGTCACGCTTTGTCAAAAAAAATGTAGTATCAAAATGTTGAATGTTTTGTTTTCTTCTAGATTGTGTCTTGTGTGTCTTGCTTTAGACATTTGCTTTTTTGTAGCGTTTTTAGGTATTGTTTTGATTTGGCACATGGCTATACTACCGTCCATTCATTCACACACTCACTTCTACACATGCACTTTTGTGTATTTGACATTCACATACACAATCACATTTAGCGCCCATATTCTCTCCGATCGTTTGTTGTATGTCTATGCATAGCCTCTCTAATTCTTTCTAGTATCTCCATTTTTTATGAACAACAAAAACAACATTTCGGCATTTTCTGAAAATAAATATTGACTTCATGTACACAATTATTTACGTGTTTTTTTTTTCAATTTGCGCAGCATTTAACGTCGTTTTGCAACATTAATACCTTCTCTCCTTTTCAAAAAAGATAAATTTGCGGTTTTTGTGTCGGTTTTTTTCCTTTCAAATCTAATACGTAGAAATATGACGAATGGACATCATTTTTTTGTTCGTTCGATATTTTCAGAATCTTAACGCTTCATCATTCGCTTTAAATGCACACACATACACCAATCATTTAATCGGAATTAAAATTGAAAGAAAGAAGGGAAAAAAACTTAAAACACTTACCAATTCTGCGGACATGTTTCCTACTGAATGTGTGTATGTACTCCCAAATGATACGTAAACGTTGTAAATAAAGTGTATGCGTTTAACAAATGAAGGAAACACTAAACTAAATTACAACAACAAAATAAACGCGATCGGAGAGCGAAAAAAAAGATAAAAAATGTATTTAAAACAATTTTGATTTTAGTAAATTTTCCATTGATTTTATCTTGTCTTCGTGTGCTTCAGCACCGAGAAAAGATGTTAATTTTGCGCGACGAATGTTCTTTTTTGATTGATGTAGAGAATTTGTTTGATAAGCGTTTGTGTATTTATACTGTACTGTATGGACTGCGCTTAATATTGTTTCGTATCACATTCGTAAATACATGTATGTAGAGAGGGTAAAGCACTTTTAAAAAAAAAAAAAAGAACCACTACAATTATTGCTGTTATTATGTGTTGGGTTCATTCAATGTGGTCTTTATAACGACTAAGAATGTACTTCATCACTACCAATTCACACAAATCACTATTTTATTCTGTTTAACTGATAGCATTGGTAGAACAAAAATCGCTTTAAATTTGCGGTGAAAATAACACTAACAATATTTCATTTGAAAGAAGAAAAAAAAACTCAAAAAAA